AGACTATAAATCTTTACAAGATATTATCGCCATTTTGGGTATGGACGAATTATCTGAAGAAGATAAAGTATGATCATTCGTTGAATTGTTATTTCAACAGTATCGAATAATTTGACGCTGACATATTTTGTGTGTAGCGAACTGTCGAGCGTGCAAGAAAAATTCAAAGATTTTTGGTAAGCATGTAATTTCCTATTTTATAAAGCATAAATTAAGTCATTTATCATACGGTATCTCACAATTGTGTCTTACACTATTTCTAGAGTCAACCATTTGCTGTTGCCCAAGTCTTTACTGGATTCGAAGGTCGTCTAGTTAAGCTAAAGGATACTATCCGTTCATTTAAAGAAATTCTTGAAGGCAAATGTGATGATTTACCAGAATCTGCTTTTTATATGGTTGGCGATATTGATGACGTCAGAAAGAAAGCCGAAGGTATATATTTTCTAAGTTTAGTTAAATTATTTAGTACTTACTTTTCATCGAAAAATTTTTTTCCAGATATTGCAAGAGAAATGAAAGCTAATGAATGAAAAATAAAGAATAGACCATATAATGTATATATATATAATTTGGTGTAAACCGTCTAAAAGTATGAAGTTTGAAAGCGTATTTGTGCTTCTAGAGTTGTTATCAAAATAATTCCTTTAACGCAATCGAATGATTTATGTCTGTCTTTCTTTCTTTTGGATTTTTTTAAAAAAAGGCTTTTGTAAAAACAAAAAAAACTTTGGCGCATAAGGTATTCGGATACGCTTGATATTTATTGTATGATAAATAAATTGTGGTGAAGCAAAAGCTGGTTTGCGTCCATATTATTATCAATAAATAAATGAATGGATGGTTAAATTAGCAAAGACCAATGTAGATTTATCATGTGTTTACGTATCTGAATATTTGTTGGGCAATTTATGGGCAATTATGGTCAGTATTTTAGGTTATGTCGGTGTTAACGTTAGATAATACCTATGCCAAAGAGTGGATAGCAAATTGCTTTTTTTTTTTTATCACAAAGCCATTTGAGAACGGGCTATTGATAAAATGGACAGGCTCTCTGAAAGTTTGTCACGGTACATGGAAAAACAATTGAATTAACATAATTGTTGTATTCTAACCCACTTTTTAAATCAAGATTAGTGGAATTGAACAAACGCAGATAAATTATTCTAAGAAAAAAAAAGAATCAATGCCTATATTCACGAGATAACAGTAATTAAATTTTTTTGTTTTTCTGTGTGCCGCAACAATATTTTAAATCTCCGAGACTAAAATTTGAAGCCCATATACAGCACGAAGTTTGCACGCGTAGCTAAGTTTTTATAAGCATCTAATTTAAATTTTAAATCTCAGGTATTGTACGAAACTTAAACTATATGAAATTAAAATGATGTTAGAGGTTATGTAAAATTTTGTCAATTTTAATTAGTGCTTCAAAATCGAGATTCGGGTTCGATTCAGATTCGATTCGACGAATCCAATAATTTACGAATCCTGTGAATTCAAATATTCGATCGGATAATATTGGATTCGGATCCGTTTTATTACTATCCCTTAAACCGTCTAGCAGGCAAATTTGCCTGCTTATTTTATTTTTCAAAAGTTTTTTTAAGATTTCTTA